CGGATGCACGGATATGTATCCCATACATACATGCATTTGCGGATATGGGATTCTTGCATCGGGATATGGACCATCTGACATGCGTATGACATCTATCCACATATGTTTTGTCAGTACACAGTGACCATCCTCTCACTCTGCACATTTAATGCATCATTTGGCTTCCCCTATCTGACTCCTTTTCTATCTTTGGCCATGCACCTGTCCCTTCTACCTTTGGCCATGCACCTGTCCCTTCTATCTTTGGCCATGCACCTGTCCCTTCTATCTTTGGCCATGCACCCGTCCCTTCTATCTTTGGACCATGCACCTGTCCCTCCTAACTTTGACCATGCACCTGTCCCTTCTATCTTTGGCCATGCACCTGCCCTTCTATCTTGGACCATGCACCTGTCCCTTCTATCTTTGGACCATGCACCTGTCGCTCCTAACTATGGCCATGCACCTGTCCCGTTCGACAGCTACGTCTCCGGGGAGAGTCCGGTGACGCCATCGATGAAGGGTATATCAACACAGACCCAGCCAAGCAAAAGGACGGGGAATCATTTACCTCAAATTACATACGGACCCACAATTCAGTGCCAAACGGCCCCGAATCGAGTTTAAAAAAGCCAAAAACGGGGTCAGATATGCTCACGGGCTACATGCAGATGCACAACCCGGTATCCAAAGATACCAAGTGGCGTCCAGCCGATTTTAAAGACGGCTATGTGGATATGACACACCCCAACCAGCCTCTGAGCAAAGCCCAGGGGTACGTGAAGATGGAGGCGAGCCGAGAGAACTCTGCGGGGGGACTACTGCCTACCCATGGCACACATGGGCTGGACTCACACCCCGGCCAGGCAAACAACGCCACGCCACAGGGTTACCATGGCAACGACAGGGGACACGCGCACGGTACCACCTCGCGTGCAGATACAGCAGGTGGTAAGGAGAAGCCCAAAACGTCGTGCCTGGGGACTCGACCAAGCTCATCTGGGGTGGTGAGTGTGGGCAGTGCCGACAGTGTGAGGAACGATAATGGGGTGAGTATAGGCGATAGGGACAGAGGCAGAGGCATGGGGAAGCATGTTTGCGTGTCAGTGCTGCGGGGTGTGGATGACGATGAAGATCAGAATACGAGTACGTGTCTGTATACGGATATCAATCTCCGTCCCGAGAGTTGACCGGTGAGCGTCATGGGCTGTTGTATTCTTATACACGCATCTCAAACAACAAGGTGTTGCAACGGTGGGGTTGGGTGCGGTGTAGCTGATGGCATCAAACGCGAGCACGTCAGAGGGAACGGTAACCTCTGCGGCCCAAACGCAACCAGCAACCAAATCAATTAGCTAGACTGACCTTCGGTCTACGGAAGAGCTATATTTATAGTTTTGCACTCCAGGGTTTTAGGGTATCCGCGTCATCTCCTTCCGCGGAGGTGAGAGGTGAGTGGCTGAGGGATTTCAGCTCTTAAGCCCTCCATGCACACCTTAAACTGTTCTTGAACAATACGTGCACACACACACACACACACACACACACACACACACACACACA